TGAACACCAGAGAGAGAGTGGTGTGAAATTGATGACAGATTCTACCTTCGCAGTTTCACATACAGACCCTCTAACCTGGTTATGTTGACTCCTCTTGGACAAGCAGAACGAAAGCAGGATAGATAGAAAGTGGGAATCTAATTAAGAGAAGGTGAAAAGGTACAGATCGATTAAGATAATCTACAATGTAGAGAATCAAGTTAGACAATTTTCATTTTAATCTGCTGATAACATTAAACAGTATAACAGCTGTTTAATATAAACTGTTAGATTTATTAATTATATATTTATCTCATGCTTAAAATAATTACACAATGTTTATTAGATTAAATGTAATATTGTGTCCAGGGATGGATCCTGTAAAGTCTGTAGTTTAGTTAATAGTATTGTACCAACATTAACTTCCTAAATTTGACAAATGGTTATATGTTAATATTAGCGCAAGCTGAGTAGAATGTATATGGGAACTCTTTGGGCTACCTTTGTAACTTTTCTGTAACGTTTAATTTATTCTAAAATAAAATGCTTATTTAAAAATGTTTTTCATTAGCATTAACTCTAATTTATGTATTTTTGAAATGAAATATTATCGAAATCAAATTGTAAGTTTTGTCAATGGTGCACGTAGGACCATCATTTCGATTATGCAAAATTCTTCAGTGCCACCAAGTTTAATGATTTGCCTACATTTTAATCTTCTGAGCAACTACGGGAAGGCCTTCTGTCCTCTCAATGACAAAAGGAGTAGTATTTTCTTCCAATAATGACTTCTGTATCAGGTCTGGATAATACTTTGGGTCATTTCACCTCATGCTCATTATAAAGGGGACATTTTAAAGGGGACAATTTCTAGTTTCATGTTTCCTTTGCTATCTGGTAACCAGAGCTGTAATAAATACTTCAGGTTCTGACCATATTTTGTTCAATAATATTATGCTTTCTTCTTTGTTATATAGTACATAATATTCCTTGATATTTTGAGATGTTTTTATATCAATTTCTCATTTATACTGTATTTGCTATTATCATTTTCCCATGTATATATTATGGGAAAGAAAACGATTTGGGCTTGTGTTCACTTATAAGAAATACACCTTAGAAAATAACTTGGGCTTAACACAATTCTGACATAAAAAGACCTAATAAAGATAATCCAAATGGCAGCAAATGTTATCAAGATTAAACTAAACATCTACATAGTGAAAATCTTATGTCTTGATTAATCAATCATCATAGGTTAAATGACAATTACAGCTTTATTGACTGGTGGGGAAGAGGGAGGTTCAGTAGCAGCAAAGGAATCAAGACAGAGGGATAGTTTTCACATAGTGCATTTCCAAATAATCGCTGTCATAAGCGAGGGGTAGAAGTGTAAAAAGGATTCTGGAAATTAACAGTCTTGGTAGTTAAGAAAGACTATAAAACTAGAAGTGTAGTGCAGGGCCGCCTACTATGGCTGTGTACATTTGTACATTTTTCACTGCCTGAGGGCATGGGGAGAGGAGGTAAATGGGGCGGATTCCGGTCCAGCCACTCTCGGCTGATCCTGCTCAGGCTGAGGAAAGGAAATTTCTAATTTTCACAAAGGTAAGCTTCAATGATAGCTGGATAAAGACCCTTCTCTACCCGATTCCAAGAAGCTACTGTCTGACAAACAGTTGCAAGTTTCTTTTCCCACTGAATCCAATGCAATTCTTACAGATCTCAGATCCTAATATTGTGTCACAAGTTTTAAATTCAGTGTTTCCTGGAAGCTTTTGCTAGAGACCACTCAGCTCGTCAGTGAACTAACAACTTTCTCGAGCTTTTCTTTTTCTGCTGAATTTCCGTGTCTTTTAGGCATTTGGATTTGATTTTTTTTTTTTTCTTCTCCCACTCCGCTTTATAGAGCAGACAGCGGTACCTTACGGTTTCCTCAATTAGCATAAAAATTCCTCCATGGAAGCTCAGTTCAAAATGTTCCCATTCAAAACGTTAATTCCTGAGGCACACACTTTCCACCTGTCCCTTGCCACAGTGCCTCTCGACAATTTCTCACAGTTTTATGCTGCGTTCCCCTAAATAGAGTGCCTCGCATCTTCTCGTACGGCGCACAGTACAGCACAGGCGCCCGTCCCCGTGCTGCGCCTTACGGCGCATGCGGCTGTTTCCGAGGGCGCGTGCGGAGGAAGCACAACATCTGCGGCCTGCGGTGACGTAAATAGGCCGCGCGGAATTTTGCTTCGTACACCTTCCCTAGGAATGAATCCTGGCCCAACATTGTGATGGTGCGCTGCAGTTGCGTGTTGTTCAGAAAGGTCCGTGACTGATGCCAGAGGGCCAGGTGCCTCCAGCCCCACCTGAGGGCTCTGGTGCTTCTTCCCTTCCTCCCCACTTTTTCTTTCTGGGGGCCTCTTTCCTCCTCTTTCTCTGCCATAGTTTTCACCCCCGCAGGAGGCGAGGTTGGCCTGTGAGGGGTGAGAAGGGTGTGTCTGCCCGGCCTGCTTAGATTTTGAGATTCTTCTAGGGAATTGTGTGGACGTGGGATGAAGGCTGGGTTACCTGCTGCGGTTTAGAAGCAATACTGTATACATGGAGTGTAGATTTGACCTTTTTCTTTCGGCTCAAATAGTGTATTTTACTTTTAAATGTTAATATCCATAGCCCGTTTATTTATATATATTTTTGATATATTGTTTTTAAAGACGACTTTTCATCAGTAAATGAAAATATGTAGTAGGCTTGCCTTCTTGCAAGAAATTTAGATCAGTTTTTGTGTGGTATTGATTTTAGAATCATTTCTGTAAAAAATTTAAGGTTGCTTCTAAAAAACGTCTTTAAGAGCCTTTCTAGTAATGTTTCTTTAAACCTGCCGACGTCAGAGATGGGCCATTACTAACAACGAGATTGAGATATTCCTTTTAAGTTTGGGTTCTAAATCTCTGAATCTGTTAAATCTAGAATTGTAAAACAATGTGGCACAAATTGAATGGAACTTTAAGAACAGGAGTTTTTGTTTTATTGGAGGAAAGGTATAGTTCGTAATATCTTGAGTGAAGTTATACTTTATCCAACCCTCTGTTTTCCAGAAAGGTGAAGAAAAGAGAGTTATGAAGGATAGTACTTGAGTATATGAAATAACTAATCATTTAACTAAAAAGAAACTACTGCATTTTGTGTGTGTGTGTGTGGATAAGTTATTAAAGGCTACTTGTGTAACCTTACTGCCATGAAAAGCCACTTCCAATCAATGTAGTTTGCAAGTGGAATCTATCTCTTCACTTAAACCTGATGCATTTTTAAAAGTGAAAGCAGCAAATCGCCATGCGTTTATTAATCATTTATTATTTTCAAGGCATTTATTTCCATTTTTTTAAAAAAATTTTATTCATTTAATTGAGTTGACATTGGTTAATTTTATAGATTTCAAGTGTACAGTTGTATATAGTGCATTGTGTGTTCACCACCCAAAGTCAAATCTCGTTCCATCACCATATATTTGACCCCCTTTACCACCTCCCCCTCACCTCCTTTACCCACTGGTAACCACTATACTGGTGTCTGTGTCAATAAGTTTTTGTTTACTTGTTTGTTTGTCGCTTTTAGTTTTATATTACATGTATGAGTGAAATCATATGGTTCTTGACTTTTCTGTCTGACTTACTTTGCTTAGCGTGGTATTCTCAAGATCATCCATGTTGTCACAAATGGCAGTATTTCATCTTTTATTGTAGCTGAGTAGTTTTCCATTGTATACATGTACCACATCTTCTTTACCCCATCATCTATCAAAGGACACTTCCATTGTTTCTGTATCTTGGCCACTATGAGTAATGCTGCAGTGAACACAGGAGCATTGCAATGAACATATCTTTACGAATAAATGTTTTCAGATTTTTCAGGTAGATACCCAAGAAAGGGATTTCTGGGTCAAATGGTCACACTAATCTTAATTTTTTGAGGAACCACCAGACTTTTCCATAGTGGCTATACCAATTTACATTCCCACCAGCAGTGCAGGAAGGTTCCTTTTTCTCTACAACCTTTCCAGTCCTTGTTATTACTTGTCTTGTTGGTAATAGCCATTCTAAAAGGTAATGCATTTCTGATCTAGCCTTTCAGAACCAAAGCATAAGTTCTTTAGTCCCCCCTCCCCCGTGAAAAATACTCTGACTAGCCCTTAAATTCATCTTTTATACATTTCTTCTACCCTATTTCCTTACAACGCTTTGTTTCATGAGTACATTTGCATGCTTAAATGAATATCTGCTTTGAATCTTTGCTATGAACCCATCCAGTGCAGTCTCATATCTAGACTGCATCAGAATCACCAAGGGAGCTTGACCTGTCCTCATTTCCTCTCCAGGGTGTATCAGAATGGTCAGAGTATATATATTTTGCAAAAAGTTTCCAGATGTTTTTTGATACTTATAATTATCCTAAATGATTAAAAGAAGAAACGATTATGAATTTAAGAAATTACTCAATAAGGAATCTCGGTAGTCCGAGAGGTTAGTACATAGGATCTTTACCTGCAAGAAGCTCTTGATTTAGTGAGAGAAACAGATGTAAACACTAAATAGAGCACAAGATTTCAAGAAGTATAATTATAGAGATAGAATCAAATTGCTGAGAGCTGAGCAAATGGGAAGTGTGGATTAGAGGAATTGAGAAAGATATCAGCAAATATGACATTCTGGTGGGTTTATGACAGAACAGAACAAATGATGTATAAGTAGAGGAAAAGCATGAGCAGAGTGGCGTGGAGACGTGAAAGTATAACATGTAATAAGAGCAAAAGAGGAAGAAGATAGGAGGGGTTAAACAAATGCAAATGAAACCGAAGGTAAGTTAAGAGCTTTGAATATAGTACTGAGAACTTTAGACTTTATTTCATAAGCAATAAAACAGAAAATCATGAATGGTTTTTGAGTAAGAGAGAAACATGATTAGAGATTAGATTTATTTTCAGAAAAAATAGCTCAGGCAGCAGGATGAAGGACTTGTTGAAGAAAGAATGACTATAGGTACTGAGAGACCAGTTAGGAGCTAATGAAATGGTCAAGATACTAGGACAGTTGTACCAGAAAGGAAAGGGCTTTGGGAAAAGAAGCAGATATAGTCAAAGATTCCTATACATAGTCTCAATGAATAGTAAACTATTATTCCATTATTTGAGAGAACATTGGAGGAATAGAATTTACCTAGGAAAAAGTTATGTTTTGTCATATTAATATATACTCGAGGTGACAGTTATCCTTTCAGTACCTATGAACAAGTTACACATTTGAGAGATTTAAAATATAAATATAGATCTTGTTCTCAATTGCTTTAGACTATTAAGTTTACGTCTTGGTGGGGATGTCTAACAGGCTGGACATAGAGAGTATCTCACTTAGGTAATAGTTACTGGTATAGGCTGTCATCACCCAGGGGAGAGTCTAGATTTAGAAATGGGCCAATGTCAGAGACCTTGAAGATAAGTGAAACAATTGATAATTGAAAAAAAGGATCTTAAGAAAGTTAAATGGGAAAAGGGGATCAGACAGAAGATGAACTAAGAAAAGACTATAAATTTGGTGTACAGAAAGCCATTATTGATTTTTTAAGGAATTTTAGTGGCAACAAAGAACTAGAAAGGAGTTTAAATTAGTAAGCTCATTTGGTATACAAATGTTCTCTCTCTCTCTCTTTAAGTATGGAAACTTCATCGATAACCTAAGACTCTTCACCAGGGGAGGAAGTGGTGGAATGGGATACCCTCGTTTAGGTGGAGAAGGTGGAAAAGGTGGTGACGTCTGGGTTGTAGCCCATAACAAAATGACTTTAAAACAACTTAAAGACAAATATCCTCACAAACGGTTTGTGGCTGGAGAAGGAGCAAACAGTCGGTAAGTATTTACTAAATGACTTTGATTTTATAAAATTAATCCCTTCCAGAAGAAAAAAAAAGTTAAAAGATAAAAATTAATTAGTAATTTAAAGTAAATTATATTCTGTATTTGTAACTCAGCAAAAATCTACATCTGTCTCAACTATAGTAAAAAGGTACTAAGAAATGTTTTGGAGCTTTTAAACTTTTTATCCTTTTCTTCTCCCAGTGTCTGTTTATATTTTTTTGAACTTCCTCTGTAGAAACAGAAAATTATCTGAATTCTTACCGTTTTCTTCTTAAGTTATCTTTGACAGGTTTTAGAAAACCTTTCTCAAATCTCAGCCATGATACTTCATCCCACCACCACCAACAGTTCTGCCAGCATCTCACAGGCAGAGCTGAAAATTGAGAGCCTGTTTCACTGATACAGCTCTTGTATGTTCTCTTTTTGCTTCTGTTTTGGGCTTCTTTCCATGACAGCAAAACCTTTCCTTTATTTTTAGTTAATGTTTGTTATTTTTTATGGAACATATTATGTTGGCCTCAAAATATAAGAACTTTTTCTTTCATTATAAAGACAATGAAGAGAAAAATTCTTAAAACTTCTATCAAAATGCAGGCTATATTCCTCAGGCCTCTCTCATTCTATTATTCCTTAGGAGGTGTTGACATAAAGGTTAACCTTTATGTCCCTTTTTTCTTTCTCCTTCCCAAAGAAGCATTTTGGTATATTGTCACAATACTAGAGGATGGAATGGGTCACTTACTTGGGCCATGAGTATAAGCAAAGGATAGAGGCAGGAATGTTAAACACCGTGTAATGCAGAGGAACACTCGGAACAACGAATTATCCTGCCTAAAATATGCAGCAGCATCTCCTGGTAAAGAAATCCTTGGAGAAACACTTTATATTCGTTTTGAGCATTTTTGTTTTATGAATAGTCTGATTGAAACCATTTTATAGGATAAATTTTGAGAGCCCTATATTTATTAGAATTTAGTAATCAAAGCTTTGAGTTCAGAATGTCATTTTATTATTTTGCTGTTACAGGTGGGAAATAATAGTAGTTTACTTTCTAAAGTAAAAATTTTTTATCATTTATAATTTCTTTTCAAAAGTAAAGTTTTTATAATTCCAACCTTGGTCTGTGTTCAGATCAGTGGTATATTAAAGATGGTATATAATGTTTTAATGTTAAGAAAGATTTAAATAGAACATTTTTCTTACTGGAGTTGCATGTGGCAATTTTTGGAATGTAGAGGCTTAAATCTGAACAATTAATAGGAGCCAACTGGGTGAAGGGGAGGAAAAAGTATTATAGGAAAGATAACATGAACAAAGGCCCAATGGTAGCAGACATACCCATATAAGACACTAAAAGAAGGTCAGTGTGGCTAGAATGCAGAAAACGGGAACATAGAGGAAGATGAGACCAGAAAAAAAGGTACAGGTCAGACTTTAATTCAGACCATCACCATTTCTTGAAAAATTGCAATATTCTCCAATTTGGGTCTCCAGTCTTCAGTCTCAGTCATCACCTCCAATCCATTCTTTCTCCAGTTATTCCTAGAGTGATTTTCTAAAACATCAACTTATGTCACTTGCCTATTTAAGATCCTTCAGTGTTCCTCATCACTCTAAAATAATCTTCAAACTCTCTAACATAGCATATCAAACTCTTCATGATCTGGACTACACTGCCTTTTTTTTCACAACATGCCATTCCGCTTATACTGGCATTGTGCTAGAAAAAACTATTATTTTACCAAACAACTTGTTCTCTCCTAATCCAGTGCACGTGTGTGTGTGCATGTGCTTGTGCGTGTGTGTATGTGTGTGTGTATTCAGTTTATCAACACATCTTTTCCTGCCTTAATTGTCTGGCAAAGTCCTTCCTATTCCCTTTTCAAGGCTTAGTTCAGGGACCACTTCCAAAATATAGATAACCGAGCAAGATTTTAATTTCAGATATCTAATAATGTCTACTAAAAGTTAGACTGCTTTCGTTCATCATGAAATCATCTCCCAGTAAATTGGTTTATGCTTGTTCATCTATAAAAATTATCAGATAGTATTTCAGTTCTTTAAAAAAACTCTTTTAATAGAAAGTTCATCAGCAGTAACACAACATTCTAAAAATTACAACACACAATCCCAGTAAGAGAAGTGTTCTATCTAAATCTTTATTTCACATTCATACATTTCTGTCCAGTTTGTTCATTCAACTAAATTGAGTATCTCTCAATCACTTTACTAGGTATCTAGGATAAAATGATGAACTTTATGTAGTCTAGTAGGAGAGCAGATATTAATCAGATACATGAAAAATGGAAAATTATAATTATGACAAGTCTTATGAATGAGCCTATACATGTATATAGGCAGTGGGATTCTGACCTAATTAGAGAGATCAGGAATACAAAGATTTTTTTAAAAAGTCAAGTGTCTATAATCCTTCTACCCAGAGATAATCACTATTAACCTTTTCTTAACTTTTCTTACATTTAACAAAAATGTAATTATGTGTGTATGTAAATAATTTGGGAGTACAAAAACAAGAGAACAATATTGGCAACCTCCCCTTTTATTTCCGTGACAGAAGATTGTTCAGAATGGCTGCATAGTGTTATGATATTAGTAATAACTTATTTTGTCATTCATCTATTTAGGTAATTATTGATTTTTTACAGTTATAGCACATTGCAACACACAACCATGTATATATAGTAGTATACATGGTGGTTTGTTTTCTTTTAGGATAAATTCCCAGAAGTGGAATGACTAGTTAGAAGTTTGTACGTATTTATTCTCTTATGAGCAGTTTAAGAGATGAGCCTCCTATAAATATACTCTAGTTTGAGGTCATTTTTTAAATTTTTTAAATTTATTTTTTTAATTAACTTATTTTTATTATGGTGACATTGGTTAAAGAAATCCAGTAAGTTTCAGGTGTACAATACAACAGTATTAGGTCAGTTTTTTAAAAAACTTTGTTATTTAGTGGATTTTTCTTTTTTCTAGTTTATTAGTGTTGTTGTAATGGTCTTTTCATTTCAGGCATACCATATATTCATTATGAGTTGAAATGGCTTTTGGTGGCTAGCTTGGTAACTTAAATCATTACTTAATATTTTTATTGGGATACGATAGTCTACAATATAAAGAAATAATTGAACATCAAGTCAAAGCTCTTATATTTGGCCATTTAATATCTGTGTTAAAAGGGTTGACTGCTAGTCTTTATAGAGCATTATATTTGCTTGAAGCTTAAATCATTTAATTTAGTGGGTTTTCCTTATTTTAATTTAACTCTTTTTTTTTTTTTTTTTTTTGTAGGGTTAGTGCACTGAAAGGCTCAAAAGGAAAAGACTGTGAAATCCTTGTACCTGTGGGTATTTCAATAACTGATGAATATGGTAAAATTATAGGTAAGTGTACTATAGATTCTAAGGTTGTAAAAAATGTGCACATTTTCAAAATTGTTTGAGAGCTGTGGGGAGTAGCACTTCTTGAGTGTCAGAATTTTTTTAAAAACATTAACTATTTTACCTGCTAATTAATGAAAGAACTTTTAAAAAAACATTACATAAAGGTTGTTGAAAATTAACTGCTAGATTTAAGATTATTTTAAAAATATAAGAGTAATTGGTTTTAAACATAACTAGTTTATTTTCAACTGTTTTCAAAAGTGCACTTCCAGGGTCCAGCTTTTAATAGAAACTTCTGGCATCTATTTCTGAAAGAAAAATGTCATTAGTGATTAGCTCCACTTACTAATCTTGGCTCTACGTATCTTTATCTTTCTTTTTAAGGAGAACTCAATAAAGAGAAAGACAGAATTTTGATAGCTGAAGGAGGTCTTGGTGGTAAACTACTTACAAATTTCTTACCTTTAAAAGGCCAGAAACGAATAATTCACCTCGACCTAAAACTTATAGCTGATATAGGCCTAGTGGGGTAAGTACCATTCATATCTTTATGTTTATACTTTCAGAGAGATAGTTCATAAATAGAAAATAAATATAAATGGTAATTTAGGGCCAGCACTATTTCTAGTTTATGGAATTTGTGCATCATGTGCATACTTTGGAATATGCTATCAAATGTAGTTGTTTTCATAATGCCAGCATAGAGTTTCGTATATACTATTAATTTGTCAAAGATCCTAACCATATAGTAAGCTAGTGAAATGTTAGAAAACAAATAAAGAAAATGATCAATCAAATGCAGTAGTATGAGAAGGTAAAAGAACATTACCAAATATTAAGGAATAAAATGAGAAATCCAGACAAACCACATTTTAAAAAGTGTATAGAAGAAAATAAAAGAAGGAAAGAAATGATTAAGATATTTTACACATCTTAATAGCAGTATTGTATCATTAATCAAATGGCTAAAGGCTGGTGCAGACAATCTTAGCCGTCAGACTTACACACTATTGAACACCAAGTTGAATCTTGGTATGATCTTTTCCCTATCCTTTACGCTCTGCTTAGAATCTGTCCATTCTCAGTACTGCAGACCTTAAAATGTTGTCCTCTTCCACAGCCTCCATTCTTTCATAGCATTGTATAGTAGTCAGATGGAGGCCTAAGGAAAAGGTAGAGAAAACTGCTGCCAAACTGGGTACCAAACTACCATTCCATTCCTTGCCTTCCCATAGCTTCTTTCTAAGCTCTTTTCATCTTCTTCTCCAGCCATCTCACTGCTTCTTTACCAGACTCTACAGTCTGAATTCTTCACCTCTTTCCATACCTGTCTGGTCTTAACCAGCAGTGGCTTAGAGTTGACAGAGGCCCCATTCCTGCCAAATTTGTAACAGGGAAGATGTGATCCTGGTTTCAAGCTTTCCATCCACATTTAATTTTTTGAGTAAAACATAGTTACGAGGGTTGTTGAGTTATAGGTTCTGTAATAGTACATATATTTTTAAACATTCATAGAATGTTGTGGATAAGACTGAGAATCCAGCCATTCATTTTCTCATTTGGTAGAAAAATGTACTGCAGTTTCCGTAGATATACCTTTACAGACAAAGAAGATCCTAGCAAGGCTGAGTAGTAAAGGTGGGTTATGGGTGGGGGACTCAGGTGAAACTATTTGAGTCAGAACCTCAGATCATCAGTAGACTGGCCGACTGGTCTTGACTATATTATACCAGGGATCCCCAACCCCCAGGCCACGGACCAGGACCGGTCTGTGGCCTGTTAGGAATCGGGCTGCAGGTGAGCGGTGGGCGAGCAAGCAAAGCTTCATCTGTATTTGTAGTCACTCCCCAGCCCTAGCATCACCTCCTCAACTCCACCTCAGATCATCAGGCATTAGATTCTCATAGGAGCACCGGTCCCTAGTGCCAAAAAGGTTAGTGTGTTATATGGTCTCCTAAGTTTTTGTTTTCTCATCCTTAATAGTGGATGGAGATGGTTCTCACTTTAAAATGTTGTTGGTGAGTAAGATTTCTTTTGCAGCACAACACATGCCTTAGATTTATGAATGCTCAGTGAATGAATGGTAGCTGCTATCATCATCATTATATTGACAATTTATAGGAGACTACATATAGTGAAATGCTAAGATTTTCAGAAGTGGACTTGAAATTATAGTCAGTAATTAAAGCATCATTATTCTTAAGCACAATATTTAATGCATGTTCTAGTGCTTTTAAATTAGGCAATTATTCTTCAAAAGTTACTAGTGTGAATGCAATCATAAGCAGATATCCTTTTAGCTGGTTTCAGGAATGAACTGAACCTTAGAAGAAAGGTATCGTATAACTACACTTGTACTTCTGTTGTCAGATCTGATCTTTACTTAGGTTGGATTTCAGCCTCTAAATTTTCATTAGGTACTTTTCAAGAAAAATCTTAAGTATCTGTTCTTCAGCCATTAGCATCCTTTTCTTTGTGTACTTTGATCTTTTTGGAAATAGTTGGTTTGCATTTTTCTGTGCTTATAGAAATATAAGGATATTGGAAAGAAATAAGCAAGTCCAACTAATGATAATCATAAACAAAAATGTTTGCAATTTACTTTCCAACAAGTCACAAGACCTGGGTGTAACAAGATAAAAAACTATATTTCCAAGAAAAGTCATTAAGAAACCACATAATTTTATTCTAATTTTATTATAGAAATATTTTTAATGAGAAAAATTGTTAAAAGAGCTCCATTAAAAGCTTATAAATTTTTATAGAATTCTAAATTTGTATTTGCAAAATATTACACCATTATTTCAAATGAAAGTTTGGCAGAGTTTTGAAAGCAGAGCTTTCTTAAATTTAAATGAAAACTCTGAAGGCAGGGATCACATTTGTCTCATTGATTGCTATAATTCTGGTTCCTATGATACTGCCTAACTGTGAGTTATGTATGATGCAGGTCAATTCTCAATAAATATTTATTGGATAATTTTTTTTACTGAGATATAATTGACATATAACATATCAGTTTTAGATGTACAACATAATGAATTTGCTATCTGTATGTATTATGATATGATCACCGTAATAAGTCTAGTTAACATCACCATGCGTAGTTAACAATATTTTTTCCATTGTGATGAAAACTTTTACGATTTACTCTGTTAGCAACTTTCGGATATACAATACACTATTATTAACTATGGCCACCAGGCTGTACATTATATGTCCCATGACTTATTTATGTTATAACTAGAAGTTTGTGTCTTTTGTCCCCTTTCAACCATTTTTCCCGCCCCCACCTCTGGCAACCACCAATCTGTTCTCTGTATCTATAAGTTCAGCTTTTTAATTACTTTGTTTGGTTTCTGCATATAAGTGAGATCATATAGTATTTCTTTCTTTGTCTGACTTATTTCACCTAGCACAGTGCTCTCAAAGTCCACCTATGTTGTCACAAATGGCAATATTTTCTTCTTTTTTATGGCTGAATGATATTCTTGTGTGTATGTGTGACGTTTTCCTTACCCATTCATCCATTGACATACACTTAGATGGTTTCCATATCTTACCATTGTAAATGATACTGCAGTGAACATGAGGATACATATATCTTTTCAAGTTAGTGTTTTTGTTTTCTTCAGGTAAATACCCAGAAGTGGAATTGCTGGATCATATGGTAGCTCTATTTTTAATTTTTTGGGGAAACTCCATACTGTTTTCCATAATGGTTGCACCAATTTACATTTCCTTTTGTTGAATAAATTTAATAAAAATATCTGAATGAAATTTAGGAAATAATCTCTTAAGTGACTACCATTCCTAGTACATACTTTCATGCATTATGGACCTTTCTTGAGAGAAATTTAGCAATAAAATCAAAGCCTTTAAGACTAGCATATATTTTAATCCAGTATTCTCTCATCTAGAAATTTATCTCAAGAAAAAGATTAAGGATATGTATAAAGATTCAAGGCTAGCCACTTCAGTGTTTAAAGTTTTTAGAAAAAAATTAGACAAATAATAAATGCTCATTTACAGAAAGAAAAAAATAGTTGCCTGTTAATTCCACCACTCAGTGGTGACTGTTAACATGGTATGTGTTTTTCTCGCTGTATGCATATATTTTTGCAACATTATTGATAATAATAAAAAATTGAAGACAACCTAAATACCTAACAATAGGAATTTAGTTAAGTAAATTACGGTACACTCTTGAAAGGTGTTCACATTATATAATTCAGTTTGAAAAGCAGGCCAACCAACTATGGATGGTCTTTCAGGGAAAAAAAAAAAAACACCACCAAGTCTGAATCAGATCAAGGCTCTGTATATAATGACCGATTTATAGAAAATCCAGGGCGAAAAAATGTGTTAAATGACACCATGGGAGTGTCAACAGAAAAATCCTGACTGTGAGAAAGAAACTCTACAAAATAAATGACCCAGTTAAAAAAAAATAAAACTACAAAGGAGAAAACAAGATGGAAGGGGAACCTTTACCAAAAGAAATATAAGAGACATCAACCAGTTGTAATGCAGACCTTATTGGAGTCCCTGTTCCAACAAACCAAATTTTAAAAAAGTATTGAGAATATATTAATATTTGTTGAAGCTAGGTAATGACTAAATGAGATTTATTACTCCTCTCTACTTTGGTATACATTTGAAAATGTTCACATTAAATGTTTTTTTTTAAATCTACAAAACAATATGCGTAATATTTTATCAGTGTTTGGATTATAGGTATTTTTATTTTTTGTTCTATGATTTACGAGTTCTTTTCACATAATTTCAATTATTAATTCACAGTATTAAAACATCTTCAGTGTCGAGAATAAATTTACCTTTTCCTTTTTCATGCGTATATTTTGTTTCTCGAGTTTTTCAAAATTATTTTAAACTTACTCTTACGCCCAGAAATAGTCGAGAAGTCTACTTTCTGAAATGTTAAGAATTCAGAGATAAGTAAATATTAATAGTGCTTATATTTATTGTAACATATAAATTTATTTACTCATTTCAGATTCCCAAATGCTGGAAAATCCTCCTTGCTAAGTCAGATTTCTCACGCAAAACCTGTGATTGCAGATTATGCATGTAAGTGTAATTTGTTTTGTATTTTAATGTGTGGTGGTGAATTTTTAAATATTAATCTTTCTTTGAGTATGAATAAAATAACAGCTTTGAAGATAGCCTTAGTTTTAAAACTCTTGGCAGAATATATGCATTTCCCATTACTCTTTTAAATCTCTGTAGCCCTCAGCAAAGTTTCTAGTACTTGCTAGACACTTACTATGTTGTGTTTATTTTTAGTTGCATAATCATTGTTTTGGTTTAGTTTTGATTTTATGAGCACCTAGCCTTTATTAAGAGCTGTGATAAATACTAGGAAGACAGAGATGAATTCTTTCACTCATTTAGCAGGTATTTTTTTCTGGGAACTGCACCAGGTTCTGGAGTTACAAAGACCGGTAAACAGAAACAGATGCCGTTCTCACTTTTACTGAGCTTACAAACTAGTGGGGGAAGGCACATATCCCACTAATGAATATAAGGAATATAATATAGTTCTATGAAAGAGTACAGGTGACTGCTTTAGACTTTTATGTGGAAATGTGATGCTGGGGCTGAGATTTGAAGAATAAATATGAGTTAATGAGTGACAGATAGTGGAGGCGAAAAGTCTTTCTGTGGTGGCAGGGAGTGGATTTGTGTGAGGAGACAACATGTGGTAAGGGAAAGGGAATCAAGATGAGGCTAGAGATGTAGGTAGAGACTTTATCATACAGACCACGTAGGCCGTGTTTCATCTTTATAGCTTAAGAGCAGTTGATAGCCTTTTAAGCATGGCATAAAATAATTAGATTTGTTTTAAAAAGATTTCTGAATAATAAAGAAAATGGATGAGTATGAGACATAAATGGTTCTGGGAAGAACAGTTAGTAGGCTATTGCAGTAGCAAGGTGAGATATGATGGAAGTGTAGACTCAGAGTAGTGAATGAATATGATAGAATCTGTGCCATCATAAAACAAAAAAGTACAGAATGACATTAACTGGAAAAAAATATTAAGCCATTCTAAAATTAGACTCTTATAGAATTAATTTTGGACTAACTGCTATAAACTATACGGTCAGGACTTATCATTGTAATACAGGAGACTCCTGAGAAGGAAAGAGGAAGAAAAGTAAAAAATCATAGGATGGAGGCTAGTGTGAGATCAGTGAGGCTAAGGATAACTGGATGAGAAAGGGCTAGACAAATTTAACCCACAGACCCAATGATAGAAACCTAAATTCTCCCCCGAATACCATGCTTCTTAAAGTGTGATAGAGGAACTTCGTATCCCACTAATTAAATTAGTGAGATATGCCGATTATAATAATCTATGTTTATCCTTTTCCAAGTTAATTGTAAATAACAAAGATAATTGTACCTTCCATTTCAACAAATGAGAACATAATCTGAATTAAATTGTTCACAGAAAAGAAATATTGTTTATTTTATTCATAATTTTAAGACAATTTTGAGAGTACCAGCCATTATTCTAGCCTTAATTTGCTGTTGTTTTTTCTTTTAGTTACAACATTAAAGCCTGAACTTGGAAAGATTATGTATAATGATTTCAAACAGGTGGGTATTTTTAAAGTAGACAATTGGTTGGAAGTGAAAGTACTTGCTTTTGGTACTTGGACTTCATAATATTTAACTGTTTCTGTCGTGTTAGGGAGAAAGAGTAGCAGGATTTTGTTTCTGATAAATGAAACTGATTATATCCATTCTGCTGAACACTATCATAGTAAAATATTGTATAAGAATGTACCATTTTATTCTTTGAAAGTTTGTCTGGTTTGTCATTACAGCATCATATCTTCTTTGTCTCATAAATCTGCTCTCATTACACGTCCCTATTTTACTTCCACACTTTATTATTGATTTTCGATTCCTAAAAATATTTTCTAAAGTTCATGGAAGTGATTTTACTCCAACTTTCTCTTTAAAATAATTTTTCTTTAATTAAATGGGATTCTGGCCTTATCTAACTATTAAAATTTATTTTTCCTTGATAAGGAAGAACTGTACATCTTTTGAATAAAGAGAGAATAAAAACAGATAAAAAAGGAAAGTGACAAAATTTAAAAAATACGTAATGTATGATCAGCAGTTGTGCTTCTTGGTATTTACCCCCATGAGTTGAAAACATATCCACGCAAAAAACTGCACACAGATGTTTGTTCATAATTGCCAAAACTTAGAAGCAACCAAGGTGTCCTTCAGGAGGTGAATAAACTGTGATACATCCAGAAAATGGAATATTATTTAGCACTGAAGAGAAATAGCTGCAAGCTACGAAAAGACATGGAAGAACCTTAAATGCATATTACTAAGTGCAAGAAGCCAATGTGAAAAGGCTGCATACTATATAATTCCAACTATATGACATTCTGGAAAAGGCAAAACTATGGAGTTAGCAAAAAATCAGTGGTTACCAAGGATAAGGGGAAGAAAGGGATGAATAGGCAGAGCACAGTGGGTTTTTAGGGCAGTGAAACTATTCTGCACTATATTATAATGGTGGATACATGTCATACATTTGTCAAAACCTATAGAAAGTATAACACCAAAAGCGAATGCTTATGTAAAGTATGGACTTATGGTGATGATGTATCATTGTAGTTTCACATAATCCATTGACATAATTCAATAGAAAATATTTATATTCATTTTTAATAGTGATATAAAAGTATATAAAGTTCAATTATACAGAATATTAAATAAGTAAAATTATAAATGCAGAATAATATGAATATAGCAAACAATATTGAGAGGAAAAGAGAACATTATAATTTTTAAAGGAGATCAGTGGAGGACCTCTGAAGAAAATTTTAGTACATGAGACCTCTGTAGTGTACACTGCTTTGTCACGTGACCACAACTTCCTGTAAAACTCTGAAATCCTTATTCAGATGAGCAGTGTACGTAAAGCAGTGCTTCTCACCCTTCAATGTATGTCAGGTTTATCTGGTGGCTTAAGAACAACAATGGTAAATGAAGCATGCACCCCAGAGATTTGAAATGAAATCTCTTAGAGGTAGGGCCTGGGTATCTGTGCATAAAACCTCCCTAAGTGATTATAATGCACAGTGAGGTTTGAAAACCACAAGTGTAGAATAATGGTTAATAACTGTTATCATCTCCAAAAGGAGTATAGGAAAACTATACCCTTAACTTTGGATATAGTTAATAGTCCTGGTAGAATGTGACCAGAATAGGAACAATGGTGCCAAATAATTAACTGCATATAAATTTTAAAATTTAAAACTACAAAGCTGTACTAAGGAAATGTCAGCTAAATTAATATTCTTGAAAACTTTTAAGAATTTAGAAAGTTGAAATTCTGTGGAAAGTTCACATTGAACAGTATAATTTATGGAATTCTAAAGAGAATTTATGTGATTAATAGCTGTTAAAGTAATCTCTAAAGTTCTATATTGTTAGATTAATAAGTAAAAATAGAACTCTAATTTCTGATAACAAAGGATGTTGATTCTAATGCTTAATTAATTTTTTTATCAAGGCGTCTTGGTTTCATAAATATGTGGTAATCACAAATCAGAAACATTATATTTTAACTACCATGAAATTCTGAATGTAATTTTACTTACGGTTTTCATATATTTTCTTTTTCTATCAAACTATTTAACTTTGTATTAGATATCAGTAGCTGATCTTCCTGGTTTAATAGAAGGAGCACATATGAACAAAGGAATGGGCCACAAATTCCTCAAGCATATAGAAAGAACTAAACAACTGCTTTTTGTTGTAAGTCATATGTATATAAACATAATATTCAAATGAATGCGAAAATCTGTACGTTTAGTTTTCCTAGAAATTTTTTATAATAATAAGATTTAAAATTAAAGTAGTAGCATATGTGACTCCACTAAGTCTCTTTAGATGGGGGTCAAATATAGTAAGTAATCTTTGTTTATACTGTGAGGATAGAAATGGCATTATTTACTATGTCTATTATAAATTTGGTCATACTTGTCAAGATTTAATTCCTTAAGATTTTCAACATAGTACTATATTATATAGTATCTTATTCCTACCTGATGGTGCTGGAGTTATACAGCTGACCCTCAGACAACTCAGGGCCCCTTATAAATTTTTCAGTAAATACCTGTACTGTTTCCCAGCCATGGTGTTGGGAGTCTGCAGATGTGGAGGGCTGACTGTATGCATTGATCTACACCATTTTACATTTGATCTTATCCAAAAGGCTGAGAAGTGATCTGTGCCATTTTATATAAGGAACTTGAGCATCCACAGATTTTGGTATCCTTGCAGGGGTCCTAGAACCAAACCCCTGGAGGATACTGAGGGGCTGTAGTTAAGTTTGAGAGGAGTCAGAAGTTATACATGGATTTTCTACTGTGCAGGGAGGGGTAGGGGTTGTCAACTGTATATGTATGAGATTGTCCATATTAATTTAAATTGCCTTATGTGTACTACTTCCTCATTCTATTAATGGTTGTGATTTTATCAAAACAATTATAGTTACCTTGACACTTCAATTTCTTCTATTTTGAATTACTAAATTACTAATAGAATATACATTGAAAAATTATTTTTAACTTGAGAGAGTAAGATATTTCAAAACATAGAAATGTATAGCTATTGTTATATTAAAGGTTGTCTCTTTCCTTCTTTTTTTTCTTTTTGTTTTTGGTTAGGTTGATATTTCTGGATTTCAGCTTTCTCCCCAAACTCAATACAGGACTGCCTTTGAAACCATAATACTTCTTACAAAAGTAGGTTTCCTATTTATGTTTTACTATGTTCTCCATCTAGTCTAATATGTAGATACATAGGACTGTACTAAAAAACTTAATAATTAGAATATGTTTATATTCCACCTCTACTTTTTGAAGCTTCGATGTTAAAGAATGATCTAAACTTGCTGTCTCCAGTTTTTCAGTATTAACCTGCTCCTCACACTATTGCAACCAATAAAACCATCCTTAATTCCAAATCCCTTTACAGACTTCTCAAACTTTATATTGCTTAAACTTTTATTTCTACTTCTTAGACTATTTCTCAATCTACTTTTTATGCTTTTTTCTGTTTATTCTGTAATTAGCATTCAGTTACAGTAAATATACTGATGACTGCCAAATCTGTATCTGGTACCCAGATCTTTTGGTTGTGCTTTACTGGCTGCCTCTTGGAAATCTTTGATTGGATGCCCCATTAACTTCTCAAACTTAATATGTATAAAACTGAACTTTTAAAAAAACTTACCAGCCTCCTCCAGAACTTTACTGGGTATGTAAGCTGGAAACCTAGGTGGTGGTCTTGATTCTGTCTTTCTCACCACCTTTATCAAGCCCTGTCAGTATTATATCCTGAATCTCTGTGAAATCCATCTATTTGTCTTCATCCACACTGTTATAATCATCAGCCCCTCTCATTAGAATGTTGTAAGTCCGTAGTGTCCGGTCTCCTTGCTTCCAGTCTCACTTCTCTGCACTTCGTGTTTTTATGGCAGCTAGAGTGATCTTTGTAAAAGAACCAAGGTGATGTTTGTTCCCTGCTTAAAACAGTTTGATAGAGCCCCATTGCTGTTGGGTTAGTCTAACATGAACATGGTTTATGAGGTCTGGCAAAGTCAGGCTCTTATCTCACAGTCCGTCTCTGTTTCCCTCTCTTACATTCTGTATCCAGCCCTATGGTTTCTCTCTAATATGACATAATGTTTCTTACCTCCAAGACTTTGTATATCCTATTTCCTTTGCCAGTTTTTGCCTATTATGAATAATAGTGCTGTGAACACTTGTGTACAGATTTTTGTATGGACCTGTTTTTATTTTTCTTGGGTATATACCTAGGAATGGAATTGCTAGATAATATGGTAACTCTATGTTTAATATTTTGAGGAACTGCCAAACTGTTTTCCAAAGTGGCTGCACCATTGTGCCATTTTACAATTCTACTTTTGAATGGATGATGGTTCCAATTTTTCCATATTAATGTTAACATTTGCTATTGTCTATCTCTTTATTTTAGCTATCTTAGTAGGAGTGAAGTGGCATTTCATTATGGTTTTGATTTGCTTTTCTCTAGCAACTAATGATGTTAAGCATCTTTTCATGTGCTTATTAGCCATTTGTCTTTGGAGAAATGCCTATTCAGATTATTTGCCTATTTTTAAATTGTGTTATTTGTTGTTTTTTTTTTGTTAAGTTGTAAGTGGTTGTTTTATTTTGGATAGAAGTCCCTTATCAGATATATGATTTGCAAATATTTTCTCTCATTCTGTCAGTTGTCTTTTCATTTTCTTTATATCTTTTAAAGCACAGAATTTTAAATTTTAATGAAGTCCCATTTGTCTATATATTCTTTTACTTTTGCTTTTGGTGTCATAGATAAAAACTATTGCCTAATCCATGGTCATGAAAATTTACTGCTGTTTACTTCTGAATTTTATCTATGTGCTTAATATTCCAGATATTTGTATTTGGCTCTAGGCACAATCACAGCTGTCTCTAGGATGTCATGTGAGCTAAACTATATTAACATGTGATCTTACCATTAAGCATTTTCTGAGTTTCCTTTGTTAATTAATTTTGTGGTTGTTGGAATGTACTGCATTTCAGAGATCTGAATCGGCTCTAAATTACCCAGGCCTACAAGATAAAGAAAGACATTACAAAACAGGTATTCTGTATAGATACTATAATAAAATTATTCGGTTTTCTCTTTCAATTTAAAGGAGTTGGAGTTGTACAAAGAGGAACTTCAGACAAAACCTGCACTCCTGGCAGTTAATAAAATGGACTTGCCAGATGCCCAAGATAAATTTCATGTACTGATGAACCAACTCCAGAATCCTAAAGGTAAACCCATTTATTCTTAATGTCAAAGTAATGAATACTTAGTATGTACAGAGTGGTAAGTGATATAATGAGTGGGGAAAAAAACTAACAGGTGCTACTCTTAAAAAATGTTCGAAGAAAGAATACATACCATATGAAACATTTAAGTAATATTTTAATGTAATACTTACCAAATTTCAGAATATGTGATATAGACAGTAAGTGAGAGGAGACAAAAGAAGAGAAAGATCATTTGAGCTGAAAAGATCAAGCTTTATGAAGAAGTAAAATTTAAACTGAGTCCTTAAGGAGTTAATGGGATTTGGTTCAGAAGGGAGAAAAGTCAGCTTATACCTGTGAAGCCTTTCACTTTAACATATTTCACAAGTTCTAGAACTTCATTCCCCTAGTATACCATAAATTTAAAAACAGAGTTAATAGTTCTAAAGAGGTGTGTATCTTTCCAGTGTCAGCTCTATAGATCTTTGAAGAGTACTAATCTTCTAACAAGAACTCAAGTACATGTACCTTTGTATGTGTGACAGAAGAATAGATGCTGTTACTCCAAAAGGGTTTATTTGTTTGAAATTTGTTCCTAAATGAATTACTTTGTATAAAGGAACTTAAAGGGACTTTCCACTGTCTTGAATATTGAACTTCGCAGAACACTCTGTATCCTAAATGATGATGCTTTCATTCTTCTGAGTCTAGTAGAGGACCTCTTCATAAATGAGGAAAAGTAGGGTGGATGGCAAGTGGTTAAAATGTTTTCAAATAGTACTAATTTCTCTGTTTTTATCATTGGGATAATAATTCGGGAAAATAAGTTATTATTGGGACTAGCAGACAGCAGCAGAAGATTCTCCCCAAAAATCTTTCCCCAGTGTAATTTACATATTAGAGTTATCCTTGAGTTAAAAAGTTACTTTTGGGGTATAAATACTCCCTGGAATTAGTCAATAGTCTTTATTCCTTAATGTTATTTGTTTTATATCAGTAGATCTATTTACCAGTTGGTCTTGCAGAAGATGGAATTTTCAGAGGAGGTACCGGAAGGGAGGATAACTCCAGAGTTTGTGGCTAATTTGGACCGTCATAAAACAAAATATAGTCCCCTCAGTGATAATTCCTGAGTTAGCCACTCTGGACTTCTTTGAGGGCATATGAATCTCAAACCAAGCTCCATACTGGCTTGTCTAATCTCTTTCAGTCCAGCCTTTTCAGTTTACATCAGTGTTAAACCTGTTCCATCAGTATGCCATCCCTCTTCCCATTGCCTTGGTGGCAGGGAGAGGAAAAAGTAATATAACAGCTCTCAGCCCCTGTGGGGTGATAGAGTAAACTCATCTGACATGATTCCCCACTTGAACTCCCCAACACCTTTTTCAATTTTAGTATGGCTTCTAGGACCAGTGATGATAAGCCTATGCTTTAGGGCAGTTAAAGGCCACCCATGTACTGAGGCAAGCTAGAATATCCTAAATCACAAATGATGTTTTTTTAAAGAAGGGTTTTTTCAGAGAATCTATGTTGCCTCACTTTATTGAACCCCCCAAAAAGCAAAATTTATTACTTCTGTAAGTAAATCATCTTCTATTTCTTTTATTTATACTTAATTTGGTTTAAAATATCTTTATCCAACAAATATTTACTAAGCAGCTACTGTGTGCCAAGAACCTTACCATTGTCACTGATAAAAACCAAGGGTTCTAAGAGCTTATTAGAGAGGGAAAATCAGGAATTAAAATTGCTAAATTTTCAGTTCCTCGTTTCACAAATCAAACCTCTAACATAGTTTTGACTTACTTTCAAAGACAATGAAAATCATCATAGTTTTATGTTCTTTGTTTCAGATTTTCTGCATTTATTTGAAAAAAACATGATTCCAGAGAGGACTGTGGAGTTCCAACATATCATTCCTATCTCTGCAATTACGGGAGAAGGAATTGACGAGTTAAAGAGCTGTTTGAGGAAATCTCTGGATGAACATGCCAACCATGAAAATTATGCATATCATAAGAAACAGTTGCTTAATTTACAGATTTCCAATACAGTAACTTATAGCGAGCTACCATCAAAGAATGCTGTTACCAGTTCCAGAATGGACATAATTTAAATCTGTTTAAAATGATATTGAAAGTGTGTTCATTTGAAATCTTTTCCACAGACTGTATTTTTTAGAATGTTATTGCTAACCTTCTGGTATATATGCCATTATTTGAGAACCGTATCTTCTTAGAGTGTTTTGTAGTTAAGTGTATCAACAGTATAGTAATTGAGAACTAAAAATGATAGTTTATAATTTTATGGCCAATCCACCTATAAGAAAAACCTCTGATATTCCTGTACTTATTATGTCTCTAGTGAGTCATTTTTTTTTTTTTTAATATAAAAGGATTTCTAGAGTATTATGAGAATGAGCAGCTAGGTTTTGTTTGATTTTGAGTCTATCATTACCTGGTTCTACTAAATATATAATCTCATTTTTAGAAAATCTCAAACCCCTAAATTTGAACATATGTTCAGCGATAATAAAGATCACTGATAATGTTTAACAGAAACCAGCAAATAATTATTTGTGGTTTCAGCTTTTGGAAATTTTTCTTTCTTAACTATAAGAGTATTTCTTCCTGCTTTGGAACAGACTGACATATTATGTATCTCATTTTCTTATGTCCTAGTCATTTTTATTGTCTACTTTCATATTTTAGTAAAGAGAATAGGAAGTGCTAACTTTAAACAATATTATCAGTCATCAACATATTCTTAAAGTATAATTTCTAAATTTCTGACTAAGTTTTAAAAATACAAATTGGACTTTTTCTCTTAATGAGTTTTATTATAAAATATACAAGTTTGTTTTAAAAAAAGTAAAATTTAAACAGTACAAAGGCATATAAAGTAAAAACAAATTCCCATCTTTCTGCATTAGGCCCTCCATGCCTTTCCATACAAAACCACTGTTAATAGTTTTCTATGTTCTTGCAGAATTTTTTTAGTTATGTATCTTTTTACCCCAATGAGTTTATTACATAAACCTTTTCCAAGTCTGTTTATTTTTTTAACAAAATAGTAGCAAGTTAATGAACTTTTAATAATTATCCTTCAATGCTGCTTTTTAAATTATTAGGAATTGTTTTGCAATTTAAGGCATAAGGAAATCATTTCATATGCCTGTATTAAAAATAATGTAAGTATTCTACTTAAATTTCTTCTGATATGACATCGTGAGTGACTTTTTACAAGCATTATTTCACTTTTATTTGTTCTGTTGTTCCCCACTCCTCCCTCTCATCTCAGTCCCCAGATCACTGGCTTCTTTTTTTCTCCCCCCTCATTACACAGGTATGTATTGAGTGTCTCACTTGTACCAGGCACTGTGTGGGGCGCTGCATGTGCAGTGTCAAACAGACGGGACCTGCTGCCCTCATGGATCTCACATTCGATAGCAGAAACTGCAGGGAATAAGAATAGCTTGGTTTTATTTGACAACAAAGGAATAGGAGTGAGGAAAGTATTGGAATTTGAATATCTGTACTGATGATAGTGATCATATTTTGTATTGGGTATGTTTCATATTTATGACTTCAGAGTCATTTCTCTTTTTTACTTCTGTTATTTCCTAAATATAAACAAGTAACAATATAAGGACAGTTGTATCAGGTGAATTTCTGAAGTTCTGAGCCCATAATTTTATTCTCCGTTGTGCCAAAAGATAGTAGACATATATCAAGGATTAAGAGGAGTTGGATCTTATCTGCTCTGTCAGTAACGCTACTCTACTACTAACTGAAGCATTTTATGTAACTCACTAAAATGTTCCATTATTTGTATTATCTAGTTACCAAAAGTATACTTTATGTACCTTTTTCTGATGGTTGATTTTTATTTGAAACAAAAGGAGAAAATCTGGTTTCTTTTTTTATTTTATAAACTATAAGTTTAAAAACTTAAACATTTATTTTGAAATAAATATCTTAAAATCATCGCAGATGCTGTTTAAATTGAACTTAAGCAATACTTATTTATTTTTACCTTTCAAAATATACATTTTTTGGAATTGTTATCTTACTGATAAGCCTGGATATCAATACACTATGTATTACCAAGTCCCAGTAGTTTTTTGAGAGCTTACTATGTCATATTCATTTACCATGATGAATTACAAGTTTATACCACCAGACATTGTCAAGTATTAAGTATATTGTACTGTGAAATTGGACCTGAAGATAGCACCTATGAATCAAAAAATTCTAGAAACCTAGTATCCTGTTCTTTTTGTAATATATATCCATATTATTCTTATTTATCATAATAGGTGAACTTTATGTAAAATGAATGTTTTAAGTAATAAATATGTATTATATAATCAATGGGAAAAGTCTGCTTTCATAATGAGAAAAATCATGTCACAAGTTTTTTTTTTCAGTTTTTATCCAATTAGTTTCTTATAAAGTTATAGGTTTTAGTCTAGTGTTTATTTGCTTTGGGAGGATAGAGGTCAGAGATTCTCTTAAGAAATTTAATGAAAGCTACAGATTTTTTTCTTGCCAAAAGTGAACATAAACACATGGACTGTCTCCCAAGCAGTTTCACAGGATTTGCAAAGTTCAGGTAAAAAACTTAGTTAACAAAGTTATATCTAGAAATTTTTAATATTAAGATGTGTTAAAAGTGTTTCAAAGGAACAGCATAAGCATACTTACAAAATATAGCTTAAAAATGAAACAAAAATTAGCAATAATACAAATTGTAAACTACACAAAAACACACCTTATTTCAAAAATATGGCAACATTTTTTCTGAAGACCAAATCATGAACTGCATTCAGTGGATACTTTTAAATCCTTAAGAGCGCCTCAAATTTGGTTAATTCTGTCTCTCCTTAGACAAGTGAAACAAATCTAAAAATTTGAGTACATGGTTTGTGCTGATATTAATATCTAACATGGTAATGTTTTCATACTGAAGCATTGTGCTGAACATTTTACATATTTTACATATCTCTTGTAAACATTACACTATATTGCCTCTTGGTTCTTTATGAATTTTAAATTGGATGGTGAGTATATGTGTGTTTTGGGGTTTTATTTAACCTGTTTGAGAGTCTAAAATATTTTATAATTTAAAAAAAAGGCTTTGCCTCATGAAAGTTTATATCTTGAGAACTAAACCATTTAGATACCTGTAGTTAACAAATGTAGGCAGACAACATGCTATAATTTTTACTGCATAGTTAAACAATAGAAAAAATAAACATTTTTTTTGTACCTTAAAAAGATTTCAGAAAAGAGAATCGTTTTGTTTTGATTGGAGCTTGGCAAATAGATGAAAAGTATCAGAGGAATCTCTACCTTTGAATGGGTGTCACAAGCCTGGTAAAGGAAATGCAAAATCCAATAAGTAATGAATGAGAAAAGGGGAGAGAGAGAAAAGAAAGAAAAGTATTATTGGAAAGCTATAATGTTTCCCTATAGTTAACTCAGGAGTAACAAGTGGGGTTATCGCCTCAGCTGGCTCTCTTAAGTTTGAAAAATCCCGGGGCAATTTCAACTACCATTTCTGGCCATACCCAACTACTAATTTTAAGCAGTGCTAATTTTAAAAATTGTTTTATTTTTCTCATTATATGACAGTTGCTTAATAATTGTTGGGTACTTGGAAGACTTCAGAGGAAATAATCACTTTTGTGTATATTATTAATGTGTTCATAATAGAAATTAAATCCTTAAGGATGCCCAGATACCTAGCTGTGTGAAGCATAGCTATTATCTGAATCACATACTTTGAAATACTTGGATTTTGAAGAATAGGATATGCAATTTATATTATAACTAATTTTAGAGCAATATATGGAAAGGTAGTTTTAATGTTGTAAAATGTGAGTGCACTGAAAGTTTGAAGGACAAAGCTTTTTTGTTCATGCCACATATTTCAATATTTTTCTGAAATTGCCTGTATCTTCTGACTAGTGCTTTCATTTTATTTGTTACCAAATATTATTATTGGTATTATTTCTATATAAAAGGCTTTAAGAAGACCACAGTGAAATTTTCCTATATTACGAAAAAGGATACAATTATAAAGCTAAAATTTACCTTCAGTTTTACTTGAATATGGTTTGCTACACAATGAAGGAGATTGAAAGTATTTTAAGTCAAGAGCAGACATTGAGTAAAAGCTTATGGCTTAGGGTGGATTTGAAACATGATTAAATGACAAAATAAAAACTCCTTGTCAACCAAATCCTAATGGAGTAGGGGGAGGAATAAGAGTACTATGTAATAATTGAGCCTCAGTTTCAAAAAACAATCTTTCGATGACATGGTACTACTTTGAGATCAAGAGAAATTGAAAGAACAATATGATGAGCACTCAAAGCCTTTCCTATAAAAATATGAACCAAAAAAAGTCACCTGCTTTAAAGAACCATTAATGTCATAATATCAAATTTGTAACCCATTTGTCAAAAGTTTACATACAGGGTTCTCTTTAAAAATCAAGTTAAAAATATTAGTGGTGGGGGGAATGGGTAATAGACCCAGTAAAAGACAAAGATTTAAAACACCTGAGTGCAATTAAAAGCAAATGTGTTCAATTATCCTACTTAAGCCAATTCTTTTGTACAATCCCCTTCCTTCTCTTCATTAGTAACTTTATTAAATAAAGAAAGTTTGAAACATGAGCTGTCATCCTACCTATTTTATAGTAAACCACAATTTCCTAGTAGTTTTTTTTTTTAATTGAGGTATAATTGCATTTAACATTATATTAGTTTCAGGTATATTTGTATACATTGCAAAATGATCACCACAGTAAGTCTAGTTTGAAACATCCGTCACCACACAGTTTCAAAATATTTTTTGTTGTGATGCAGATCTGTTCTCTAAGCAACTTTCAGATATGCGATACAGTATGTTAACTACAGTCACTATGCTACAAATTACATTCTGTGACATTTATTTTATAACTGGAAGTTTGTATCTTTTAACCCCTTCACTCATTTCACCCCACCCTCCACCTCCACCACCACCATCACCACCTCTGGCAACCACCAGCCCGTTCTCTATATCTGTGAGTCTGGTTTTTCGTTTGTTTTTTTTAGATTCCCCACAGAAGTGAGATCCCAAACTATTTGTCTTTCTGTAACTATACTTAGCAAAATGCCCTCAAGGACCATCTATGTTGTTTAAAATGGCCTAACAGTTTTGTTTTGTTTTTTTTATTTACTTGATGTAATTTATATAACTTCCAATTTTATATATTTGACCCCCTTTCCTTTACTCCATCTACCTCCTCCCTCTATATTTGACCCCCTTTACTCCATCTACCTCCCCCCCTACCACTGCCCTCCTACCCTCTGGTAACCAGTAGTCTATTGTCCATGTCCATGAGTCTTTGCTTGTTTGTTCTGTTTATAAGGGGTACAATTATTAATTTGTATTTGGAAAGTGCTAAAATCAAAGTAATAGCAATTAACCATAATGAGTATTGTTGATTAGAAATAGTACTAATTAATGGAAAGTTTTGACCATAGATGTGGATTTGTGTAGATAGAAAACAGGTTACCCTCTAAGGAAGTTTTATTGACAGAGGGGTCCTAAGGACAGAACCTTTTGATAATTGGGGAGTGGGGAAGAGAAAGTAAAAGCAACAGGTAGGCAACTAATCAGATAAACTTGAAGAGGATGTTGGTATTTTCCAATCCAAGAAAGAAGAGTTTAGGGGTAGAGGGGGAGGGGGAAGTGATGTTCAGAAGTGTGCAATGTGGACCTGAAGCAGGTAGAAGAGTATTAGGACCAAAAAAAAACCTTTGGATTTAACCAGAAAGAGATAATTAGTGGCTGTAGACAGCAGAATAATGGTCCCTTAAAACAACTTAATCCTCATCTCCAGAATCTGTGAATATGTTCTGTATGTGGCCAGGGGGGGATTAGGTTGCTAGTCAGATGACCATAAAATAGAGAAATTATCCTGGATGGTCAGGGTGGGTCAAATGTAATCACAAATATTTTTAAAAGATGAAGAGGGAGGCAGAGGAATGTTAGAGTGATGTCATTTAGATGTTGGAAGACTCAACCAGCTATTGCTGGATTTGGAGGTAGAAGGGGGCCACAAGTCAAGGAATGCTGAGGTCCTTAGGAATCTAGGAAAGGCAAAGAAACTGATCCTCCCCTGGAGCCTGGAGAAAAAATGCAGCTCTGCTGACACCTTGTTAGCCTAGTGAGACCCATGTCAGATTTCTGACCTCCAGAACTTTATGATAATAAATTTGTGGTGTTTTAAGCTACTGAGTTTGAGGTGATTTGTTACAGCTGCAATAGCAAACAAATATAGTAATGGGAATCTCTGTAGAATTTTGGTGGTGGTATATTGCAGTGAATTTGTTTTCCCTTAGTCCTTAAAGAGTCTCTGATGAGAAAAACTGGAAAGCCAGGGTTGTTAATCGCTGATCTAAAGTCTTACCTAAATTACTTTCGAGAATGACATTCCAATATTTTAGTCACACTAGGGCATGCATTTCGTTCCATCTTTGCTATACCATAGGCAGGCTAAACATAGACCTTAACTTGATCAATAAGTCTAGAAATAGGATTTTTCTCCTTTCCTTTTTGGAGCTGTTATTTTTTAAATTGTTAATTACCTATACATCCCAGCTAAAGTCTTCTAACCAGGGAGTATTCATCAGTGATTGGGAAATAAATTATAAAATGATTTTTTTTTACACAGCTATTTTATTCAATTCAGTTTCATAGATGAGAGAACTGAAGTTCAGAGAAAAGAAGTGAGATATTGTGTCATATTGCCATCACTCATCTGCTATGGCCAGAGGTGGCCTGGAGCCGAGAGCTTATCTGTGCCCAGAGATCCTTTTTCCACCCAATACTCTCTCTCTTTCTCATTATTACAGTTCTAAGTCTGGCTTTGGGATTGCATTGCTTCTGGCCTTAGATAAACTTATCCATCCTCTGAAGCAGTATGACAGATGAGAAGGTGGTAGCAGTGGAAAGATAGTAGTAGCCTTTCCCCCGTAGTCCATCACTAACAGACAATCTCATTGTTACCAGAGCAACACAAAACAGAAAAAGGTAATAGAAAACATGTATACTCTTTATGTGTGTTAGACACGTGTAAACTTCTGTACGCGTAGTGATTTGTTTAATCCTCACCATAATTTTTTGATGTAGATAAATTTTTATTACAGATGAGATCCTGAGGTACAGAGTTTACTTGCTCAAGATCGTATAGGGGGCAGGGTGGGATAAAAATGGATATTATCCTTTACTTTTGTTTAAAACTATGATTCTTTTTCTCAAACTTTTTATTTTGAAAATTTTCAAAGGTACAGAGAATTTGAATAATACAATGAAAATCCATATACTTACTCTCCCTAGATTCAGCAACTATCTATATTGACACATTTACTTTATCTCCATTTATGTGTATGATCATTTGAAAATAGGCATAATGACACTTTAGCATGCTTTATTTTTAAAAAATCAGATCAGTCCTATATAAGACTTCTTAATACTTTAATTCAGATAGTCATTAAAACACTTCACATTTAGGAGAAGCCACAAAAAAAGCGGGGAGGGAGGAGACAAGGCAATTGAAATTGTGCAGGACAGTAAAGTTAGCTCAAATATCTAATAGCAAGTTATGTGCTCAGCACTTTGCATAAATTAAGTTCCTTAATTTTCAAAACAACCCCGTGATGTAGGTAATCTTATCCTCCTTTTACAGATAACCATAGATGGAGGTAACTTGCTCAAGGCCAGCCAATTAATACGTAGCAGAGCTCATTATAAACCGAGGCAGTTAAATACATATTTTTAAAAATTTAAAGGATGCTCATGTGTCATGATGGCTACTTTCAAATGATTATGCACACGTAAGTGGAGATAGGATAAATGTGGCCAATGTTGATAATTGTTGAATCTAGAAGGTAAGTATCTGGGTGTTCGTTGTATTATTCAAATTCTCTATACCTTTAAAAAAAAAAATCTAATTCTAGAGTTTGAGCTCCTTTCCACTTTGTGCTTTGGTAAATATTTCGTGGGGAAAAAGGATTTTTGCTAACAAACCTTCTTACAGGAAAAAGCGCATTTAGTAGGAAACATTTACGTGGATACCCAACTCAAAACGATTTTTCGTTTTTTGTTTGTTTGTTTGTTTAACTTTTTTTAAGACCTACAAGCCAAATCCGGACGGAACTGAAAGTGCCGGAGGAATAGGGGAGGTGGGAGAAAGGTAGGGGTGGTCGCAGAATGTTGCCGCGACCCGCGGCCCAGTGGGTTCTGGGAGTTGTCGCCCCCGTCATA